ATTCATTCATTGTTGCACATTTTCCTCCCTGCCCACCCCTCCCTTCAGTTGATTTTTCTCTTTGTAAAGTAAGAAAAACCAAACCTCCAAAACTTTCATTATTATATAATCTCCGTCTCCCTGCAGTCCACTCCCCAATGAAACTCTCATTCTGGGCTCTTGTCATGAAAATAATACCTAATCATATATTCCTTTCAAGCAGTTCTCTTCCTCATCTGTTTCAATGCAGTATACATTATTTATCCACTCTTTTCTTAGATTCCCCTCAATCCTGATGTCAGTCCTGTTTAATAACAGTGGCTTTATGCAGTATTTGTCCCTTTGTGATTGAGATATTTCACTCAGCATAATGTCCTCCAGGGTCACCCATTTTGTATAATATTTCATGAGTTCCTTTTTTTCAATACAGCATAGTATATAGTATTCCATTGTGTGAATATACCACAGCTTCTCTGTCCATTTGTTTGTTGTTTGCAACTCTTTGCTATTATGAACAAAGCTGCAATAAACATGGGCATGCATATATCTGCTTGGGTGACAGTTATGATTTCTTTAGGGTAAATTCCCAGTAGTGGAATTGCTGTGTTAAATGGTATTTCAGTTTGCAACTTTTTTGAGAAAGCGCCATACAGCCTTCCACAGTGGTTGCACCATTTTACACTCCCACCAGCAGTGCATAAGGGTTCCATTTTCTCCACAACCTCACCAGCATTTGTTGTTCTTTGCTGTTCTATTAAATTTTGCTATTCTTACTGGGGTGAGATGATATCTCATAGTTGTTTTGATACTTTTTTTATTATTTTTTAAGTCATCCAGTTTTTTTCCTCCCCCTGCCAAAACAGACCTTTTTCTGGAATGTGGCTGATGTACAGAGAAAGTGCCCAGAAAATGTACAGCTTTATGCCTTATCACAGCGTCAGGATGTCATGTTACCACAATCCAGGGTAAAAACAGTATGGCCAGCACCCCACGAGTCCCCAGTGCTGCCTCCTGGTCCCATCCTCCCCCTCATGCTGACACCAGAGATTCCTTTGGCCCGTTTTTTCCAAACATTCCATAAATGGAGCAATCCTTTTGTGTCATTGCAGGTCTGCCTGTGGCATTCTTCTTTGTTGTCACCTTTTTATATAGTCTTATTTGTTCACTAGCTCTGCAGGCCAGGCTTAGCCTCCCCTCTTTCAGGCCCTTCTTTAAGGGATTTGGAGTCCTTTCCTGTTCCTTTTGTGATTGTGAATTCTTGCTCTCTGTGATAGTACTGAAGCTGTGTGAAGTGATGTGGTCTGTGAGGCTGTTGGAATCTCTCTGTTGAGACATGCTGGGGAAGTCTTTCTCAGCTCTGATCTATCTTTATATCTCTTCTGTAATTTTCCATTTTATTTCTGGCACCAGGGTGAATAAATGGAATTTCCCAGAACTGTTGAGGACAAGTGACAAGGACACCCATTTCTTTTCTCTTGGTGAACCCCCTGGACTTTGGCCACATCCCCACAACTCCATGGCCAGGGGATGATGGTGTTCTTCTCTTCAGTCCCCGCCTCTCAGAGGTGCCTCAAGGGGCAGATCCACAAAGGGGGCAGCCCCACACCACCTCCTCTGTGTGGGCCTCTGTCTGAGCTCTTCCAGGCTCCAGCTCTGGCCCAGACTTATTCTGTCAGTTGAGTCAGCCCAGCAGGGAGCTGGAGGAGGAGACGAAGAGGTTTTTTCCTTTTAGCTTTGCCACCCGTGCACTTGTCACTTTCAACAGTAGCATCTCACTCTGAGGACATAATAGCTTCTGATAAAAAGACTGTTTTCATATAAAGTGAATGCAGCTTACTTTGAGCTCCAGGTTTTGCTTCTGTGGTATTAAGTATGTTGTTAGGAGAGGCCAGTCCTTGGAAAAAGACATCATACCAGTGGAAGGTTAGGAAGTCCCTCAGCAAGATGAACTGACAAAGTAACGATAGTAATTGGCTGAAGAATAGCAGAGATTATGAAGTTGACACATGATAGGCCGGGTTCACAGCCATTGTTCATAGTCATTGTGAGTTAGTGGACTTGACGACATCTCACAACAGCAGCCTGGTGCTGGGGTAGCCGTTCTAGTAGCTGGGATGGTGTCATGTCGCATCACATCATTATCTGCTGTTGCCCACCTAAGGAGGAGGATGTCTAATGTGACTGGGAAAGAGGGCTGGCCAAGGGTCCAGTGCCAAGAATGGAAACTAGATCTCATTGCTAGGTATACCATGTACTGGGGAGGTTCACCGTGAAGAGGAGGGAGGCAGGCAGCCAGGGAAGGGCCTTGAGTTTGAAAGACTCTTTGGAAAGTGAGAAACCACAGTATACTGTGCAGAGTGGCTTACAAATGTCCAGATTGGATTGACACCAACCAGATGAATGTCTTTTTGTGTTTTACTTTATATGTGACTAAACAGGCATTTAACTGTCTTATCATAATAAATTATGGCTAAAATGGATACTGGGAATCCCAGAACAATTCATTGTGCTCATATAAAACCTATGCTTAGACTAAGAAACTTTTGTGCAAACAGAGCAAGGGAACACTGCATGATTTAAAATTAAGAAAGGTGTGTCTCAGGGTTGTATCTTCTCTTAATACCTAATCAACCGGGATGCTGAGCAAATCATTTGAGAAACTGAGCTCTGTGAAGAAGAATGTGGCATCAGGGCATGTATTATGCAGGTGGTACAACCTTGTTGGCTGAACGCAAGGCAGACGTGAGGCACTTAATTGCTTAAGAGCCAAGACTATAGCCTTCAATATGAATTACATCTCAGCATCAGGAAGACAGAAATCCTTACCACTCGGTTGATGTTGTTGTTGTTAAGTGCCGTCGAGTCACAGGCGACTGATAGAGACCCTATAGACGAAAGTCCTGGACACCTGTATAACTTTCATCCTTTCTCCAAGTTCATAGGGTTTCACTCGGTTGATAGGCGATGTATATCATGATTGTTGCTGTATGCCCTCAAGTCAAAACAAACCCATAGGTGGGTTGCCAGAGGCAGTAAATTAATGTCACAGGAAGCGATTGCCCATCTTTTTCCCACAGAGCAGCTGGTAGAGTGGAGGGTGGAGAAAAGATTGAAGTTGTCAGCAATTTCATCTTGCTTGCATCCACAGTCAACATCTTTGGTTGTGGCAGTAGTCATGGAACTAGGACATGTTGCATTATCAAGGACCTCTCCAAGATGTTAAGGAGCAATGATGTCAATTTAAGGACTAAGTAACACCCGATTCAAGCTGTGGTCTTTTCAGGTACTTGCAATGCATCTGAGAGTTGGACAGTGACTAAAGATGACAGATGAAGAATCAGTGTCTTTGAGCTGTAGTGTTGGAGAAGAGGGCTGAATATCCAGTAGGCTGCGAAAAGAACACATGTCTTAGAAAGCGTGCAGCCAGGGTGTTCCGCAAAGGGCACAGATGGTGAAGCTTTGTCTCACATATTTTGGACATACTAAGAGGGACCAGCCCTTGGAAAAGACATCATGCTTGGAAAGGTGGAAAGTCAGGCACACTATGCACTGTATCCAGTGTCTACTTTATTGTGTCCACAACCTGGCTGAGGCCTGCAACAGGCAAAGGGGTTCTGTGTCAGTGTCCCCTCCACCTTGACTCAATATCGTTTCTGTTCAACTTGAACTTTGCAAATGCAGCTCTGCTTTACAAGTGCTCACTCATTTACTTCCCAGTCTCCACTGCTTTGTTTCTTCCCTTCCGAAGAATGTTTCCTTTGTCTCCAGGGTCAGTCTTCCTGTGGCTTCTCTCAGCTTTTTAGGGAATAGTTGTGTAGCTGGGGCGATGAAGCTTTGGATCAGGTTTAAAGAGGTTGACTAGCTAGTTGTCAGTGTAATGCAGTGTGGTGTCAGGGGCCCTGGAGCCTCCCAAGGACTCTTTCTAGGGTCCATGCAGTTCAGACTCTGCTTTCCACTCTCTCTGCTGTGCCTAGCCGAGTGTTCTGTCACTGTGACCGCAGGAGCACACAAGAATGTCATGAAGGTGTGTGACCTGTGCTAACTTGTGAAGGGTCTGCACATAGTTTTCATTTCTAATACAGTAAACATTGTTAGCAGAGTCCAGCATGACTGAAACTCTCTTGAGACTAAAGACAACAAGAAGATCCTAGAAACAGCACAGAATCTTCCAAGAGCCTTACCCCGCCGGGCTGCAGGCCCTTTCTGCTGGCTGTCTTATTAACCAGCATCTACTGAATTACAGTGGATGGCAGGACACTCTGGGCTGGATGCAATGGCTGACTTAATTGACATCCCCTTGATCCCCTTTGATGCTGTCTCCCCTCCCCGTCCAGGATGCCTCTGGACCCTAAAAGTACCATGTGTGACAGCCATCCAGGCAGGAAGCTTAGTGCCGGTCCCTTTATTAAAGCCTGTTTCTTATTTAAAATGAGACACATACTTAAATGGGAGTTTGGGTTCTCAGTGTCTCTAGACACTGGCTCCCCTGTGACCACTTGTACAGTGTGCTATAGTCACATTTACTTTTTGCACTGCCTCAAATAGTTGTGCAGATTCTGAAACATAGGACATTTAAAAAATTTTACAATTCCTTACCAATTAAATTGTTCATCTACTTAATTACAAGCTCCTCCTTTTTCATGAAAGCATTCTGTGCCCCATAACAGCGCTAGACATATTCTAAGAGCAGAAGACCGTAAGAATGTCCATAAGTGCCTGAGAAGAAATCTGCTACAGTCCTGTGTGTGAGAATGTTCACTGTGTGCTCCGTCTCTTATTTATCTTTGCTCTCAGGAGAGGTTTTTTTCCCTTGTTAACAAGAAACTTAAATATAAAATCCTTGTTTGCATAGAACCCTTACTTTTGATGGTAAAATACTGCTCACTGTAACTCACTGAGCTTTAGAGTCTTTTGCTAGACTTGTTTCTTACTTGTTAATAACTTGTCTGGGGTTAATAAAGTTATTAACACTTAGTCTCTACTTACCCAATGACCTAAATTCGTAAATATTTATTTTCTAGGTTGCAATAAAAATAATTGACAAGACTCAGTTGAATCCAACAAGTCTACAAAAGGTAAGATTGATATCTAGTATTCACTATTTTCAAAATTATTTTTGACAACTTCCACCAAGTGGCCTGGTCACCTAGCAGCAACACTAGGGATGCGACGGAGCCTAGCCGGCACCAGGAACAGGAAGCCAGAGAATATTTGGAAAACATAAAATTATGGAATTTCTGAGCCTGCTCACCAGCACACTTTTACTAGCCAGAAAACCCAGGAGAATCTTAATAAATATATTGCACTAGCCCAATTAACAGGCGAGTCTTTTTCTTTCTTTATGGATAAAACCAACATTGTGGTTATGTTTGAGATGATAGACTCCACAAACAGTGGCTCTGTATCGTTTGCACAGTAGAAAGAAGCCCTAAAAACCTTGTCTATAATGCAAATGAAGATGTAAAAGATAATGGACATAGAATAACCTTGGAAAAATTCAAGAAAGAAGTGGAAAAGGGATAAAGAAATATGGCCAGCATTTTAATAACACCTAAAAGTCCAAGATAATAAATTATTCTGTAGGGGGAAAGTGTTTTCATTGCCGTTTTTCATCTAATTTGCCCTTTAAATGCCTCACATGTTGTTTATCATGTTTAGTGAAGAGGTTCTGGTAGCTTAGAGCTTAAGCCCTTGGCTGCTAATCAAACCTACTAAAGGTTCTGAGGGAGAAAGATCGGGCATCCTGCTCCTGGAAAGACAATCTTGGGAACTTTATATGGAAGTTCTGTTCTCTCTTACAGGGGTGCTGTTTTTGCTATGTACCATCTAGTCAGAAATGGCTCCTAGCTGACCCTCCAGTGAGTTTTGAGAGGCAGAAAATCCAACAGGAGATTGCCCGTCTTTCTCCCACAGAGCAGCAGGTGGATTTGAACCATCTGCTTTCAGGTTGACAGCACAGCTCCTTGCCACTAGGCCACCTGAGGTCCCAGTAGGAGCGCTCAGAATAAAAATCAACATCATTACAGTGGATTATTATATCTAATTGGGTGGATTACCTATTAATACACTGGAGAAGGACAGGCTTCCTGGTGTTTAAAATTTGCTTTTTAACTTGCTTAAAAACATGTGAAACTGTTTGCTACAGATTAGTAAGTAAGCCTATCCTTACTCAGCTTACTGGGTACTCCATCCCTGTCAGAGAGTGTAAGTTTGGGTGCGGCAGGGTTGGGAGAGAGCTGTGCCATATCTAGAGGCAGAACTTTGGTGGGATGTGGGAGTTGGGGGCAAAGAAGTGCAGTTGTTCACTGTGAAGTAGTAAGGACAGTGAGCCCATGCCTCCCTTCTGGATTGAGCAGTCTGACATGAGAGAGTGCCATAGAACTTCCTGTTGCTCAAGTGAATGAGGTCTTATTAAAAAGCGGGCATCTGGGTGAGCTCTCGTGGCCTACTGGCAAGAAGCTGCACTGCAATCCCAGAGGTGTGCGGTTCCAATCCACCAGATGCTCTGCTGGAGAAGGAGAGACAGTCTCCTCCTCTACCAGTTAGATCTGATTTGACGGTACACACACCAAAAAGTGGGAATCTGGACCACAGCAGCAGTTAGTTTGGAACTCAGACTAATGCAGACACACTTTGAAAAACAGGCGTGGCAGTCTGTCTGCAAGTCCACAGCTCTGCAGGCTCCGGGGAGTATGTCTGCCCTGCACACACCAGGTTTCGGAAGCACCTCACAGACAACAGCTGCTTTGAAAAGTGTTTCTTTTTTCCTTCAACTCAAGACTGGTAATTTGTGAGGGTTTTTTCTCCCCCATGTCAGATGTGCCCATTACGTAGCAAAGGTGGCACATGTCATACAAAAGCATGAGAACCCAGTCATCGTGTTCATGAACTAGAAAACGATCAGTCAAGACTGTTTTTAAATGTTCCCAGTAACACAGACTAAAGGCTTCAGTTTTAAACTAGTTTGTTAAATAGAACTAAACAAAACAATCTTTTTATTGTTGTACAGATTTGTGTATCTTTCTAATAGGCAGCACTGGGTCTTTAAACTGGCCCTTGGACCCAGTTAACAGAAGAAGGATGCATTCATTAATGACAGTAATAGAAAACAACGTTTCCATGTGGGACTGAAGGAGGCTGAGAAGTACATTGAAACACAATGGTGGCCTGTATCATCTGACCCCAGATGGCCTCACCCTGGTGCGCTAGATTCACTGGGCATCTCAGCAGGCTGTGCCAGGTAGAGGGCCATCCAGCACACAGCTGAGGCAGAGATCTTGAACTGCAAACAGGAAGTCTGAATTAAAGCCTAGACTCTTAATTTGACCTTGAGTGAGTCACTGAACTCTCCTGAATTTCTTCCCTGTAAGATGGGTAATTTCATACCTTGTGAAAGAATGGCTGTGAGGTGAGCATCAGTGAAATGATGCCAGTACAAGGCAAGAGCTTGTACACAAAAGCAGCACATACATCCAGAGGACTGGCTGTTTCCTGCTGATGGCACTTGAGAGGGGAAAGTTGGAGATCAGTTATAACTTGCTCCGAAATGAAGTGGCCCTTGGGGGTCCGCACCCCATAGTAGGCCTCAGAGTTTCTGACAGTGGCACTAGCACAGATCAGGGATCGTTTTCAAGAGTCAGTTGTGAGCAGCTGTCTGGCGCCGGATGTTCTGTGAGAGCCTCAGGTGTTCGTCGTCATTAGCTAGTCTAGTGGAGTGAGGAAGCTGACTGCAGTGGGGGTGGCTGACTCTCCACCCCATGACACTGCTTCACTGTGGTGGTTAAATGTCCCTTACTCAGGTGCGGGAAGATTTGAGGACTCACCTGAGGAATTACGGCAAGCTTTTGGAGTCTGAGTGCTTTTCCAGGCTTGAGTTTGACGTGCAGGTTTGCTCTGCCCCCAGGAGCGAGGCAAGCCAGGCTTGGCCTAGTGTTTAAGGCAGGAGGCGGTGCTAACCCCAAATGGTTTTCCTGTCAAACATTTTTCTAGGTGGTACAGCACTGGTCTGTGTGTTGCTGTACAGAGGTAACTCATGCTTGCTGGATACCGAGCACTGTGACAGTGATGTGTCAAACGTGGTAATGGGCACCCATGGTGGACAGTGTTAGCTGCAGCTTCCCGACTAAAACAAGCCTGGAAGCAGGAGCGGCATCCACTTCCGAAATGGCTTGCCTCTGGAAACTCGTATGTACGAACGGTGCTCAGGCCTTTTGTTCGTAGGGTCGCTATGAGTCATCTACGACTCGACAGCACCTGACAACAGCACCTGAGGATTTCTCTTGTACTGGCTGTAAAGAAGTTGATGCATAACTGCGTTTAGATACTTGAGTGATACAAATGTTATACTCGACTTTGCTCCAGGCATCAATCACTCATTCATTGAACAAACACTTTTTATTAAACACCAGATACTCTTTTAGGCGCTGTGGCTGTTGTGGAGCCGACCAAGTTCCTAACTTCCTTCTTAGTTCCGTGTAACTAATACTCCAGCTCAAGGAGCTACCGATAGCAGGTTGCCTGGGTGTGCCCTAGAGCACTGCTGCCTGGACAGGCACTCTGGCCTTTGGGGAGGGAGCAGTAATTTGTCAAGTGAAAGAGTGGAGAGCCTGGCAAGGTTGATGTCCCTGGCAGGACTGTATGCAGAACCAGGACCACAAGCTAGGCCATGCGTGCATTGCATGGGGAAAAGAGGCAGGGTGACTGGTCAGTGCCTTGCCTGGAGGCCACGCAGGCACTGTGTGGGGAAAGGAGCGGAACAAACAGTCCATTGGCTGGAGGCTGCGCAGGCACTGTATGGGAAGAAAAGCAGGGCAGACAGTTCATTGGACCGAGTTGGAAGGGTCTTGAAGTCAGTGGCTCTTTGCAAGTGTATAGTCGTCAGATTTTTGGCATAGACAGTAAGGTTTAGACAGTAAGATTTTTTAATAGGAGCCACTTGATTAAAACTAGAACATTTTAACCTAAAAAGACATTTCTTTTGAAATATATGTGTATCTAGAATAATGGGGTTAGCTGTTAGACTTTATCTATCTAGGATAGAAGGCGTACTCCTTTCCACAGCATCTTGGCTCAGTATTAGACAGTTTCTTGCACTCACATCTATCTTCCAGGAGCTTCTCTATATCTGTTGTCTATCCTGCCATATTGATACTTCTCCAAACATAACTAGCCTGTGGAAGATACTACTTGGGGTTGCTGCAGAGGAAATAGCCAGCGCCTGCTTGGTCACCTACAGCACTCACCCTCAGGTTGGATCTGACGTACTCCATGCTTAATATGGATTTTCTTTCCTTGTCTGATTTAACTTATTCTGCTTCCTGTCTTTTGGAGATATTTTTTGAGAAATGAGTCTTTTCTATTAATTGTCACTTAATAGGACAAAAATATGGTCATCTAGTTAAATTTAAAATTACCACCAAGACAGAAACAAAGTCCTTTGTGAAGAAGTCCTTCTATCCTTCTTCCAAGTTGGTGCTTCTGACCCAGTTGTTGTGTGCAATCAAGTCGAATACAACTCATAGCAACCCCATGAACAACAGATCTGAGCCCTGTCCTGTCCTATGCAATCCTCACAGGCTCTAACATGTTCTAGCCTTTTGCTGCAGTCTTTGTATCAATCCATCTGATTGAGGGTCATCTTCTCTTTGACTAACCCTCCACCATCCAAGCATAATATCCCCCTCCAAGGACTAGCAAAGTATGTGAGGTGACACTTTATTACCTTTGCCTCCACGGAGCACACTGGTTGCGCTTTCTCGCAGACCCATCTTCTGTTGGCAGTCCAAGAGTATTCAGAACTATTCTCCAGCACCAGAGCTCAGAGACATCAATCCTTTTCTTCCGTCCTTATTCAGTGTTCAGCTCTCAGAGGCATAGCAAGTGATTGAGAAGACAATGGCCTGAATCATATGCACGTTAGTTCTCAAACTGACATCATGGCTCCTCAGTAATTTGGAGAAGTCACTTGATCTCCTTGACTCTTGGTACCAAGTGTTCTGATCATGGATCCAAATAAGATGAAGTTGTTGACTGTTTCAGTCTCTTTTCTTCATCTGCCGTGATGTTGCCTCTCTGT